AACCAGAGATACGGTGGGGAGGAAGGCATAGATCCTGTCTCTGTAACCCTATGAATTTTGCTGTCCCTCTTCCTCTTTTTTTTCTTCTTCCTTCAGCAACCTCATCTGTGTTACAGACCCGTCTACTACTGGTGACCAGAAGAGGAAGTCAGAAGCTGTCTGTGAGCGTTGGGAGGGGGGAGAAGAGAAAATGATGATAATGCAGCTCTACATTTCACTTTCAGTATGTGCCATGCCAAGGTTTCCAGTGGAGTCAGAACTGGAGAATTTCCATAGATATCCTTATTCCTGAGCTCTTTCATCCTTTTTTGTATTCCAGTCATTCTGTTTCATGCAGTGTAGGCCACCTCAGCATGGCATCTACAGACGCTAAGAATGTCCCCTAGGACCATGATCTTGAGCTAAAGTGTTGATCAGTAATGATTTTCTGCTTCTACCACGCAATCACAGTATTATTCCAGGCATCAGAACCTGTGTCCATATGAATCCTTTGTCTGAAAATGACAACCTTTGAACATTTTAGCAAAGATGGCTGAGCTAATAGCTATAAAATTTTTAGGTGGAAGACTGTCAGCACCTAGCATTATTACTTAGCCTTATTAATATTGATGATAATTCTATGACCAAATTATAGTTATTAAGTATGCACTGGCACTGTTATGTCATTGCCATTAATTATAATAATTTGAAAAAGGGAAGAATTATGTAATTTTGCTTTATCTTGTGACCAGACATTCTTGTATCTTTTGGCAAATCAGGGGGAGGCTTTCTTCTCAATGGTGTTAAGAAATTCTAACAGTGAGCCTGGCTGCTGACCAGGAATGGAGAGCAACGCCCACCCCCAGTCCACCTTCTCTGAGTCCTGGGGCAAGGGAAGTGGCGGCACCATCAGAAAGACCTCTCTCAAAGACAACTCTGAAGACCTTTTCTCCCGAGGGCTGTTTCCATGTCATGATTCAAGTGTAACTTAATTATATTAGATGGATCTTTGCTCACAAAGCAAGTAGCCTGAAACTATTTCTTTGCATTCTAATGAGAGTCTTTGGTTTTCTTTCAGAAGAGAACTTAAGACCTTTGACATCTTTATGGTCTGTCTCTTTTTGTTGTGTAAAATACTCATCCTTTCCCAGGCAGGTGATCTGTCTCCAGTTTAACCCCAGGTTCGCTTCTGTCTGGAAGTGGCTAGAATGAGGTTGTATTGTTCTCTTTCTTCCTGTATTTTATTTGTGACTGCACTCTTAGTCATTACATCTCTGACAACTGATGGAAAAGCATATTTTTAAAAGTATTTAGAAGGAATCCACATTAAATAATTGACGTTATGTAACTTAGTATATTTACTATTTTCTGGGAAAATGTCTGAAAGAAGATATAAGGGCAAACATAAGCCTAACAGGACACACTTCTCCATGGAGTTTTATGATCTTAAAAAAAAAAAAAAAACGCACTTAACAACCCTTGGGGTACCTCCCAGATTTCTTGTTTTAAATATTGCTTAGTGAATGACTTGTTACTATATCCATAATTGTTTTAATGTGTCTGAATAGCCACAAGCCTGTGATTCTTATGTCCCACTCTTGTAGGCACTGGTGTCCCATGAGTGACCAGTGTGCTCCAGAGCTAACAACTTTTTTCCAGTTCACAGGGAATTTAAGTTAATGAATGGAATACTTAAGATTTTTCACCCATAAAACATTTCTAAACTATCAACTTTGTTAAGCCTATCAGAAATTAGTGAAAAATGTCATTTTGTGAAGCCTAGCATTTTCTATTTAGTTGTTTTATTTACTACCGGTATTTTAAGTAGCTTCCAGATTCTCTGCCACTCAAAAACATTGGTAATCTCTTGCTATTGCTGTGCAAAGTATATTTCACAGATTTTCTATTAATTTTTGATATTTCACCCCTCCCTTAGAAGTTTTCTCAAATGAAGACAGATTTCATAAGGAGTGATGCCAAGGGAAATTTTTTTTGAGTCAGAGTCTCAATCTATCATCAAGGCTGCAGTAGAATGAACATCATGGCTCACCACAGTCTTGACCTCCTAGACTTAGGAATTCTACCTCAGCCTCCCAGATACCTGGGACTACTGTCATGTGCTACTGCACCCAGCTAATTTTCTTTTCTTTTCTTTTGTGTAGAGAGGAGGTCTCACTATGTTGCCCAGGCTGATCTTGGACTCCTGGGCTCAAGTAATCCTCCTACCATGATCTCCCAAAATTCTGGAATTACAGGCATGAGCCATCGCACCTAGTGAAATTTCTGATTGCATACCACTTCCTAACATTTCACCTGTGTTTTATCTTTTCTTTCTTTTATATATATATTTCTTCCTTCTCTGTTTTATAATCTCTATCATTAATTGAATATCACTATGTGCCAATCATATGCTAATCCTCACATTAACTTTGCAAGTAAAGATACAAAAAACGCGAGTATGCTAAATTTATGCATCCAGGGTCTCATAAGTAACAAATGCCAGAGACGAGGGGCCTCCCTTCAAAGACTAGAATGTTAACATATGCTATACTGCTGTTCTCCCTCTTTCTCCTCTACCACATGCTTGCTTTTGCCTTTCTCTTTTTAAAAAATCTTATTTAATTGTGATAAAATACACATGACATAAAATTTACCTTATCTATTTTTAAGTGTAAGTTTAGTTGCATTAAGTGCATTTGCATTGTACATCCATCTTCAAAACTGTTTTCATCCTGCAAAACTGAGACTATACCCATTAAACAATAACTCCTCATTCCCATCCTCCTCCTGAGACCCCGGCAACCACTATTCTACTTTCCGGCTCTATAAATTTGCCTACTCCAGAACCTCACTTGAGTGGAAACATATATTATCTTTTTGTGTCTGGCTTATTTCACTCAACATAATGTCCTCAGGGTTCCTCCATGTTGTAGCATATGAAAGAATTTTTTTTTAAGGTTGAATAATATTCCATGGTATGCAAACACTACATTTTGTTTATCTATTTATCCCTTAATGTGTACTTGGGCTGCTGCCGTTGGGAATAGTGTGCTATGAACTTGAGTGTACTGCATTTCCTTTCAAGTGCCCATCCCCCTTCCTCCCCCCTGCCCTCCGCCTTTCTGCCTGTATAATAGGCTTGTCTGTGGCAGCCACTGACATTGCTTAATCCCACTGACAACACTAAGACCCAGAAAATGACTGCCTAACTGTATAAGTTATTGGTCATTTCACCTATTTTTCTTGTCAGGTATCCCTTTCATTTCTTGGCTCTGTCTTTCTTTTCAAGTTGAGTTTGTGTATGGTAATTATATTCTGTCATTTGCTCCTGAGTCCATAGATTTCTGTCCTTTGCTACCCTTGGATGGAACTCTCATGTGACTCTTTAAACCTTCAGAGGAATTATATCAAAGAGCCAAGCAAGACATGTTTATTGGATCCAAGATATTAGGCTAGGTGGGCTAGCGGTTTGAGACAGCTCACAAAGGTTGAGGGATTAGAGGGTGGGCAGCAGATACAGAGGTTTATATCTCAACTTCAATGAGCTTTTAACTTTCAAATATTTATTACTTTATTGGGTAGTTTAAATAACTTGGAAATTTTCTCATCAGATTTATTGCATATGTCACTTATTTTCCACTGGGATGATTTTGACCTCTCATCCACACCTGAACATTTGGTGATGACTATAGACAGTTCTGGTTGTCACAACTAATATGGAGGGTGTTACTGCCATCTAGTTGGTGGAGGCCAGGGATGCTGCCAAACATCTTACAGTGCAAGGAACAGCCCCACAACAGAGAATAATCTGGCCCAGATGTCAGTAGTGCTGAGGTCGAGAAGCTCTGTGATATGCAATATTACTCAATTGTGTGGATTAATCATATAGTATAGAACATAAAAAGACACTAATAATTTTCCCAAGGAAAATGTCTTTATGATTATACAGAAACTTGAAATCAAGCTAGCATTTCCCATGCTTTAATTGTAATTATTTGCTAATTTGGTATGTAAAGTTTCAAATGCTTAAGTGGAATTTTAGTGTCTAAATAAAATTTCCTAGTAAAAGTTTTATTTTAAAACCATAGCATTTAATATATTGACTATTGATATCTACTTTAAAAAGAAAAAAGCATTGGTATAGTTTCTTAACTTTCTTTGGATTTGAAAAGCATCATGTAACTGCCTTCTGCATATCTCTCTCTTGATTGCTTTGTTTAAACTAACACTATATTTAAATTTTGGCCCCTATGCAGCTCTCTTATGAGGTAGAGCTGGAGGCTTTAAAGGGTGTTTTGCAGCATGGATTTAAAATATGCCATGGGTAACCCACTTGCATAGCAGATGATGCTAAAAATATAAACAAAATTTATTCCCAATCTGCCCATTTTCCTCAGCCGGAATACTAGCTAGTAAAAAAAAAAAAAAAAAAAAAAAAAGCCCTAGTTTAGTTATCTGCTTTCTGGTCACTGGGTTTAAGTAAAGATTCCTTTCTTCCATAAAATGGAACTGGAGCAAGTGGAATGAGCTGAAACGACGGATTGTTTGGAGATGTACAGACGTCGTCAGGTGTCCTAAGAGGCATAAAGATGCCTGAGACCCAGTGGCTGCCCATCGGTCTACACCTGTCTCTGGAGAGCTGTGGAGTCATTGACTGAGAAGTCATCCTATGTAGGAGTCACCAGGGCATGCATTTGAGTGCCTGCCTGACTAAACAAGTCTCTCTTAGGGTTGGATCCAGGGCATATAATAAGATCAGTATACCTCCATCACCAGTCCCCTGCTCTTTGTACATCTTCAGTGCTGAGCAATGGAAATTGATGTCCATAATAAGAGTCCTGAAATTCTTTCTTGAACCATCAAGGGAAGAATAAATATGGGCTCAGTGGTCTGATTATCTTGTTACATCCCAAAGGTTATCATAAAAAGCACTTCCTGCACAAGGACAGGAATTGGTCCTCAGGCATCTGAGCCACCAAAAGCTGTACTCAGGAATGGAATCCATGTCTTTTCTGTTGCAGGACCTGGGAGGAAGGCAAAGTGCTCATCTTCGATGACTCCTTTGAGCACGAGGTGTGGCAGGATGCCTCGTCTTTCCGGCTGATATTCATCGTGGATGTGTGGCATCCGGAGCTGACACCCCAGCAGAGACGCAGTCTTCCCGCAATTTAGCAGGAATTCATGCAACATTGAGATACCCTGGAGAGAGGCTGCTTTTCTGCTTTCATGCCCTTGGGTGTGAGGATAGAAGTTCAAACACCAAGGCTTTTCATTCCCTTGACTTGCAGCCTAAAAAATTCTCAGCCTCCTCCTAAGGTTAGAAGACACTAAAGGGAATTTTTTCCTCACTGCCATTCATTTAGAAAATACCCTGCTGTGTTTCATCCCACGACAGCACTTGGTCTTATGCCTGTATTTAAGGTGAACATTTGAGAGCTTCTATTTTGACAACCAAAGATATGTTTTCCACATAGAATAGACCTAAATCAGTGTACAATGAGAACATGTATAGAAACTGTGAATGAATTGCTTTAGTTTGTAATTTTTCTATGCAGTTATACTTTTTCTAGGGTAACTAGACTATTTTGTCATCATGTATTACCACTACTTTTCTGTTGATTTTAATGATAAGCTGTATAAATGCTTTACTTCTAGCTGTTTAATGGTAATGTTTCTTTCAGTAAAACACTCATGTAAAAAGCAATTTTATTTTCCCAATACAAAAAAAGATGTCATTATGCCAACATCTGTGGTCTCTACCCTTGAGTCTGTTTGTTTTTTTAATTTCATTGAGATCCAGTATCTTAATTTCTCCCCTCACTATGCTAATGGTGGTGGTATATTGTCAAAATCTTATTTCTGTCTTTCAAAATCTTATTTCTTACACTGAAAAAGGGCGTGAAAGCATCTTATATTAAGTTATAAAAATGCCACATGTAAATTTGTTAATGCCAAGTATTAGGGCTTGTGGGGGGGGGATGTAAAATTTATGGAAGTAAAAATTTTCTCTCAGAATTAGGTGGTTACTAGGGAGTCTGGCTCCTGATTTCTTTGCCATCTATGAGACTGGGCCTGGGAATTCAGAGTGTCTGCCTATGGTAGACTCATGTGAGTGACAGGAAGACAGCCTTTTGGTCCTTGAAATGATTTTCATCACAATTCCGTAGAATTATTAAGGATGGTAAGTGGAAGCTCACTAAGAATGCTAGGATCTTTGTCCAGGGTGTAGGAGGTTGAGATTGCTTTTTTCTTTGAAAAAGTTTGGAAGACTCTTTAATTTCTCTGGCTTGAGAAACTTCTACCACTAAACATCACTTTGGAATTGAAATTGTTATCTATATTTTAGTCTTAATAATACCCATGACATAGAAATAGCAGTTGAAAAATGGCCTTGCCTACTTATTCCAAAGATGATCGAGTCATTAATTTAGTTAAATGTTAATAAATTAAATTTGTATTTACTAAATAAAAGCTAACTAGAAATGTTAGCTATAAGAATGGAATGACATTTATGCACTCAATTCTAAGCCAGTATGACAAGAATGCTACAAAAATGTCATACAGGTCACCAAATTTCACTCACAGAAAAAAAGTGCGTTTTCTTTTCTATCTAAGAACAAAGGAGGGGGCTTTCTTTATCTCATTTAATAAACAATTCTTCAAAATTGAAAGTAGCTCTTCTTGTTTGACCTCAATTGCAAAGTATTGGTTCTATTCCTTCTGTTTTGCCAATGTTCAAAAATCCCACTAAATCAGAGATAAAGGGATATGGGAGAAAAGTACCAAAGTTAACTACCAATATCCAGAAGAAAAGGCAAACTCTTGAAAAATAAAAAGGTATTTGTGTCCTTCAGTGTTTATTGAACAGAGGAAATGACTGACAAGGGCAATACAGTTCAAAGCTCATGTAGTAACATCCGTGTCTCTTACTGAATTTGGTTCTTGTATGTATATTGCATACACATAAAGAAATTCAAAGTCTAAGTTGTCATTGTTGAACCATCATCTTACAGTCATGTAATGAAAGTGTGGAATAGAGTAAAAACTAATTCTTAAATTCATAAATATAGTATGGTATTTAAAATAGGGTCACTACAGTAAAACTCTAAATATTGCCAATTGAAAAGCTAGAAGTATTATTACTGTTGCAAAGTGGCAATAATTGACTCCAATAACATAAATACTTGTTTCCCACAACTATTTTATAAACCCAAGCAATAAAATTGATTTTATAATTCACTTTAATTCTTTATTTTTCTTACCTATGTCTTAGTACATAAGAAAAGTGTTTCAGCTGCTACATTGGTGGAATTATTTCAGTGTTATTATTTTGTGATTTGAAATGTCTACACAAAATGAAATGGTTTTTCTTATACTGTGATATAATTGTTTGAGAAATATTTTTAATTCTGTCTCAATTTTATTTCTCCAAGGGTAAAACATAAAAATTACTTCCGTTATTATTTTCTACCATTAGGGAAAAAATTAAAGCATTAGAGTCATTGAAAAAGAGGTGTAATAAGTGATTAAGATTAGTAAAATATCTACCAGAAATGATCATGGCCAGTTGAATCACTTCTTTCCTTTGAATTATTCAACTAACAAATTACTCCTCCCAAATATCTTGAAATGTATTTATCACATTTTACTACCCATTATCAACTAATATATATTTTTTATATTGAGCACCAACTGGTCACACTAATAAATGCCCATGTCATGCAGATGGCTGGGCACATAAGAGATATCTAAAAATATGCACTAGTCTTGGGAAACATGGCACAAATGAGGATATCATATGCTATGATATCTGTTTATTTTATATCTGATTTATTTTGAATAGGTAGCTGGGGACTCCATCTCTAAGGAGAATAAATAGATAAAGAAATAAAATGATCTTTGGCATTTCATCCTGCATTTCTGGTCTTCTCTAGTTTCAGTACTTGCATATTTAGCCATCCTTATGGGCCTTTCTGTTTGTTGAATATTTACCCTCTCAGCAACAGTCATGCTCTTCCTCCATACCTTTAACGGTTGCAGGAGGGGTATGGGGGAGGGGGAGGAGTTAAATGGTTTGGTAGCACTTTTCTCTGCTGTAGTGACCCAAGTGAGGCAACTTGAATAGATTCATTAATCACTGACATGTGTTTTCAATGGAGATGTCTCCTTTCTGCAGACACACACTGTACTCATGGGTTCTTGGGCTGCCTGTAGGAACACACATTGCTAAGATGAAATCATCATATTTCAAATTGCACTTGTCTGCTTTTAAAGTCAACTCATGAGAGGCAGCTGGTGGCCTGACAAAAGATGCTATGTCAAAATCATTTTTGCAGGATATCAAAATAAGCAAATTCTGCAAACAGCCAGACCTACGAGAACATGCTCTTAGGCTGAACAATTTGATGCTGGTGATGAGGTCAAGGAAAATAATTCAATAAGGATGGAAATTACTGGAGATACTCTTTTTTCAGGGCTTTGTACTACATTAAACTTGACAATTGTGCCTGCACAGTTTAACTCGGATGTATTTACTTGGAAATGCACTTAATTTTCAAAAACGGGAGAGGGTCCCTGTGTAATACCTCAGAAAAATCCTTGTCCTAATGCAGTGTGTGCACCGAATTTAGTTTTTCACTTCTTCAATTCATTTGATACCATAAATATGGAGAAAGGGAGAATCTTTTTTACATAAATGCCTTGCATCATCCTCCAGTCCCCTCACTGAAAAAAAAGCCTCTCTCAAGTCTTTGTCCAACTTTGGCTGCTCAGACCGATGGCTGGTGACAGTCATTGCTGGGGGTCAGGAGTGGAGGACTTCATGTCTACTGGAACACACGCGTCTGTGTGGGTCCATTGCACACGTGCTTCCTGGGTGGCTGATACCACTGAAGGCCAGCGTGCGGGAGCATTGGGGCAACTCAGGATTCAGTCCAGAGCCAGGAGTGGCTGAGTGTTCTCATTCTCTCCTTTGTCCTCATGTTTCAGGGTCCCAGCTTCTACCACAGACTGAGATCTAACAAGAGGAGAGAGGAAAAGACACAATTACCAACAATTCATGGTAACAATTTTGGAATCTCTGGGGACATTTAGAGTCCCTCATTTATTAAAAACACTCAAAATAACTATGTATTTTTCCCCCTTTTATGTCTCTGTTTTTCTTTCTTATGTTTGCTATACCACATTTCTATCAAGAGAGGTATTATGAAGTCTTGGAATCTTTGAAGTCTTGAAATCTTCCTTGAAGTAATCTCTTGGTAGAAGGGACACACGTATTCTAGTCACGTGTCCTGATAACTAAACATTCTGTGGATTTCCAGATGTTGAATTTTTAATGCTGAAGCATACTTTTTTTTTCTTTTTTTTTGAGTTGGAGTCTCACTCTGTCACCCAGACTGGAGTGCAGTGGCCACTCCCGGTCACTGCAGCCTCCACCTGCTGGGCTCCAGCAATCCTTCCACCTCAGCCTTCCAAGTAACTGGAACTACAGGCGCATGCCACCACACCTGGCTAATTTTTTTGACTTATTGTAGAGATGAGGTCTCAGCAAGTTGCCCAGGTGGGTCTCGAACCCATGGGCTCAGGCAATCCGCTCACCTTGGCCTCCCAAAATGCTGGGATTAGAGGCTAAGCCACTGAGCCTGGCCATTTTCTTTATTTCTCAGGGTCATCAGAAGCTATCATGTATGACATTAATACCCTGAGCTTTGGAATCAGGTGTTAGACTACCCCTTATTGGCTAGAAAGCGTGGAGGAGTTCTTGAAACTCTCTAGACCTTTATTCTATCACCTGTACGATAGAAATATTACCTACTTCCCACTGTTGCTGATAAATAATAAAATAAATAACGTTCATAAAATTTTGAATGGAATTCTAGTTAAAACTTATGGAGCACTCTTGCCACCACTATTGCAATAGTGGTAGTGATCTTTAGTTTCTGATATGTTCTTTTATGTTAGAGAAGTAACAGTTTTTTTCTAAATTTTTAACTTGAATTGAAACTGACATTATTTTCTAGTTTACAGAGAAAAAGTTATAAGAAAGCTAGGCACACAGAAGTTATTTAATACATGTTTACATACTAAACAGAAGTTATTCAAAACCTTAAGAAAATGACTAGATTGTTTGAATAAGCAAAATGTACATATATGTGCAGTATATATTTAACTCAGTAGACCTGGGTTGCTGAAATTCTACACATTCCAAAAGTCTTCAAAACTGAGCCCTTGGAATAGCCTGCCTGATAAAAACAACATTGTAGGCGGGGTGCGGTGGCTCAGCCTGTAATCCCTGCACTTTGGGAGGCTGAAACGAGAGGATTGCCTGAGCCCAAGGGTTCGAGACCAGCCTGGGCAACTTGGTGAGCCCTCATCTCTACAATAAATTACAAAAACTAGTCTCAGCTACTTGGAAGTCTAAGTCCAGCCGGTGGAGGCTGCGGTGGCCTTGAGCGGGCCGCTGCACTCCAGCCCCGGCCAAGAGTGAGACTCCAACTCAAAAATAAATAAATAACAACATTGTATATCTGAAGCTTTGGGCCATGCCAGGTAGTTTGTACTAACAGTGTGATTTTTGGTGAAGGCTTATTTTTACATGCTAGGGGGTTAGGTCACTCTGTATCAGTTTGACTTTTGGGGGGAAGTGATGTGAGGAGAGGCTGAACACTGAGTAGCTAAGGTCAGTTACAAAGTCACTGCATGCCTATAACTGACACCCCACCC